GTACAGCCAGCCACTAAAGGGACTGCAGGGCTAGCAGTCTGGGGGACAGCCAGGTAACACCTTGTACACATTTCCAAGGTGGCTGCGTTGTTTGAACCAGGTTAGTTCCAGCCAGTCACTCTCCATTTGTGATTTGGTACTAGAAACAAGGCCAGCAACTGCCCTCAAAGCCTTATCCTGCTTGGGTTTGCAGGCATTACTGCAAACCCTCATCCTAGGGCAGGGTCACCACTACGCTCACACCGACAGGGAACTTGGATAAAATGTGGTGGTATATGTGCCTGCTAGAGGCAAACAGAACAAAAGCAGCCAAAAAAAAATAAATAAATAAAAATAAAAAAAGGTTCACAGCAAAAGGGAAGAACAAAACCCCCATAAAGTTGATTAAGCAGCTCACTATTTTTACGTGGAAGAGGCTCAACCAGGTCACGACAGGCTATGGCGTAGGACTCACTAGTTAGAGTCCAACATAAAACAAAGACCTCAGGATGCCAGCCAGGCTCCAACATCAGGCACATCAAGTCAAAGAATCTGCAGCAGTTAATTAAGAAGCAAGAGCGTTTGCTAGAAAACGCTATTGTTGCTATAGGCAGTTCATATATGCTGAACACTTATTAAAAAGCAAGCATCAGCTACTGAATCCAAGTATAATTTCTAAGAGCAATTTGTATCTTTAAATGTTGTTGAGGCTACTGCACTGCAGGGCAGAAATGAGAACTGGCCTTCAGCTTATATTCTGCCTAGTAGCTATAGAGCATGCAGCTTAGTTTGGATACCAAGTTCTCAGCGGGTGTCAACTGGTATCACTCCACTGAACTATGCATTTACATTAACCGATTCAAAGTAAAATATTTAAGTTTCCATGCACTGCAGATCTGGCCCCACCAGTTCTGGTGCTCTTCACCGCTGTTTGTTCATTAGCATCAAGCAGATGGGTTTAGAGGTGCCTTGCAAGGAAGCAGCAGCAACGGTGTACAAGTTTTAGTAGCCGACTGGGCAGACCCCTGAAGATTAGGCTGCAGTCAGTCCTACATGTGGAGATGACCCAGCAGAGACCAAGGTACTGCCCGCTGCTACTTCTGGCCCTGTTAAGAGTCCTACCTGCATCCACGCAATGCTTTTGCTTTAATTCTCAATGTTTGCTTCCCAAGAGTGTGCCCTTGGATCAAGCAACTGCAAACTGAGGACAGTCGTGTTTGAGCAAGAATTGGAGGCGTTCAGAGCAGGAACCACATGGGTTGATGTATGCTAGTCGAACGACTGACATGCATTTCAAGTTAAGCACAGAACAAGGGAATGCTTGGAGAGAAAGGGGCTGCAGGACCAGACTAGCCACAAGGGCCCATCAAAAATCAGACACATGAAGGCTGTAAAACAGGTCCCATCCCAGCAACACTATGCTCCAACAAGCCCCAAGCAGGTGGCTAATGGCAACACCGCTGCAAGGACAGGTTAACTGGCCCAATCACTCTGCAGTGACAAGTAGATAACCCCAAGCACCACCATGCATCAGCTGCACTGCTCCCAGCATAGAAAAGCAGCTCCTTATCCTTAACAGCACCATCCTTAAGGCTACATGCAGGTAGCTAGCCCCTGGAGAGGGAGAAGGGCAGAGATCTGCAGCCCACAATCATGGCCTAGTCAAGTGACCATGCAGCTTGCATTTACAAAAGACTGCCAAACCTGGCTAGAAACAAATGTTCTTGACCTTATTAGACTCAAAGCCCTGCTTGGAAAGTGCCAGCTCTGAGCTTTCACTTGTTTCTTGACTGTAAGTGGGGCGGGAAAAGAAGTCACAAATCAATTTTTCTGCTGCAAACAACTGAAAGACCCCAACAGGTTAGATTATTCGATAAACCCAGAGATTATAAATAGGAATCTGGAGTATCTTCAGAAATCACATGTAGGTATTTGCACACCCAACAGTGCCAATATTGTGTGGCACCCCCACAGTATCCAAAGGATCTCATGGCATGCTGGCCGAGAGCTACTGGGATAGAGGGAACCAAAGTGACTTTAGCCTGGTAATCGGGACACTCACCTAGGAGCTGGGACGCCTGGGTCCCAGGCCCTATTCCAGTGTTTTCCAAGTCTAAAATGGAACAGCATCAGCCAAAGATATGCAAAAGCCTCCCCGCCCCGGCCCTAACAAGTTCAGCATCATGGTGGGAGCAGGCATTCTCCCAGAAGGTGGGAGATGCAGGTTTTAATCCCCCCTGGACACTGGGATTGAACCCAGGCCTGCAACACATTGGCTTGTGCTCCAACTATGATGCTTGGATGGGACCAGGTTCACTCTGCTAGGGACCACTCGCACGCTTAGCAAGGCAGACACTTGCCAACAAAGAGACTACACTCTCTAAACTGGCAGTGACATCCTAGTCAGAGCAGGGAACTCCATGGCAGGGAGGTTAAATGGCTTGCCCAAGGTCACGCAGCAGGTAAGTGGCAGAGCCATGATCCAATTCCAGCGCACCCGCAGTCTCCACAGATCAGGTTACCTCCGGCAAGGTGAATCCCACCAATTAAACCCTCTCCTGCAGGGCAGGAGCTGCAAGGCTCCAGGGACTCTGTCCAGATGGAGCCTTTGAAGTTCTCATTAGTCCCGGCTTCAGTCCCTCATGACAAATGGCAGAGCTGCAAGCAGTCTGCCAGCTTCCCAAGTGGTACTATTTAATTAACTTGTGTGTGCGCGTGTGGAGGGAGGGGGTGGAAACTGCAGTTACCAAGGCAATGACTTCTATGCCTGCATCCCAGCTTTCTGGATGGACAAGATATATGCATGGAAGACGACACGCAAGTATGCTAGGCTGCAGGACTGCTGAAACAGGCCTCAAAGGGGGAACCGACCTGCATGGAAAATTAAGTCATCTTTCCACCTCCAAGCAGGAGTTCAGGCCAGCTACGCCATCCCCTAAACTACAGGCCATTTTAAATTATGCACATGTCCTAAATACATTATTAACATTCTGGCTCAGAACAGGCCTCTGCAAAGGGAAGGCTGTCAAGTCCATCAGCTCACTGCTACATATTTGATGTCTCAAATGAATGATTTATTCTTTTTTATTTAAAAAGGTAAGTTACCTCTAAAACACTGCATATATGACAACTCACTCACTCCAAGTGGCACCTGGGACTCTCGCTCAGCTCCTGCCAGATCCCCCTCTTGCTTATTAAGGGTCAGTGTTATTGGTACCGACAAGCCGGTGCAGTCCCTTCCCCTCTGCCCTGAAGTTTGCAGCCTTCGGCTCCCTGGGCACGGACAGATGAACACGTTGTGAAGTCTGACAGTTTGCTCCACCGTGGGGTAAATTAAGCCAGGGTTGTTCACACCCGAGCAGGACAGGGTTACGTTACTGTGGGATGGGGGCAGACAGATGAAATATTAGCTGAAGTGCATGCAGTTGTCACACTCACTCCCCAACACAACCACTTGAATACACCAGTGTAATCGTTGATCTGTCCATGCCAGTTAGATCTGCCAACACACGCACCTCACTCCCATTACACTATGCTTACACTGGATAAGTTTCTTTTCCCCCATCCTTTACCCAGTACATCTTTGCTATCTTGGCTAAAACCAGCCTCTCCCCAAGATATGCCAGAGGCATTTTCCCCAAGGGTCCTGCTCCCAGTCAAGCCCCCGAACCCCTCGGCAATACAGATTTGACATTTTAAAATTCACTGAAGTTTAGCAAGACCGTAGCTGCGTAGGAGCCCTGCACTGCTAAGATGTGCTTTTCTAAGACAGGCTGCACAGAGTAAATATTTGCACTTGCAAAGCTTTTTCCTGCTGTATCGCAGCAAAGCTTTTCACTGACACTCAAGGCAGCTGCAATGCAAGCTTCCCCACGCTCCAGCAACATCAGCCCCCGACCAAAAAGTTCACCCCTGTCTGGAGGGCGTGCACGGCATTACCAGGTACCCCTGGGAGAGCCTCACAGCACAGTCGACTGTTGCATGTCAAATCGCCGGCACCAAGATGGAGTCAAGACCCACCGAGACTCATTTCACTAAGGGAAGGTGAGGAGCTCTGTACAGGAAAGCAGAGGAGAGGATGCCTTTGTTATTCTGCCCTGCATAAAAGCCTATTTTTGAAAACCTAATCTTCAACATGATTTAGGGAGACCAGTAAGAAGTCAGCCATCTCTCCCTTCGCCCACAGCCACAGGTGGAACAAAGGTGGCATTTAGGAAGCAGAACCAAGTTTGCATAGCCAGTTTCGGATGAATTATCACTGCGCCGATAATACCAGCTATTGTCCTTCAGCCATACAATGCCCTGTTTGTATTTATGGAAATAGAAAAAAAACCCAAAAAAACCAGAGGCATTTTGCCAAGAAACCTTAAGATATAAAACACTTGCTAACAGCTTTGAGGAGCCAAAGGGCAACAAAAGCGCTGGTTTCCCAAAGCTCGCTGAAGGGCATCTCACCGACGGGTCACGCCAGGAGACTTCGCGTGCCGGAGTTAGCAGGAATAAGCAATATCTGCTATTAGTGGGAAGAGCAATGTTTAATGCTTTGCTCACGCTGCATTTGCCTCCTTCCCAGACCTGGGGCAGCAGACTGGACAAGGGGGGCTGATGGTCTGAGCCAGGAAAGGGCAATCCTTGCATCCCTAGGTGCTATAAGAAGGGTCCCTTGCCCCCCAAAAGCTTGCAAAGAACATTCCCCCCCTCCCCCCAACTATTTAGTTGATCTAATAAAAAGATCCACCCAAATCCTTGCCCCTCCACTCCGTGGACCATCACAGGGACACTGTACATCCCTCCAACAGCACTAAATTTAAGCCTTCAGTCATTCCTCTCCCCTTCTCTCCTCCAAATGCAACTATGGAGGGATGCAGATTGCAGCATCATGCCCTCCCCCCATCCATCCATCCATCACCCCCTCCCCCCTGCAGCCACCATGCCCCAAGTGCATGCTGAGACCACGCCAGCTCATTGCACCCAAGACGGCGCAGGCAGCAGCACCCCCACCCCGGGAGAGGCGGCAATACCTCGCAAGACGCCCGAGTAGGCAGCAATGAGCGTCTTCATGGTTCTAAAGCAGCGCAGTCAGCAGCGAGTGCCCTCCCCCACCACGCGCTGCGCCTCCCGCGCAGCGAATAAGCCGAAGCACTGCCTGCTCGCCCTTTTATAGGCACCTGCAGGGGCAGGCGCGAGCCCTGCGCATGCGCCCTGCACTTCCGCCCGCGAGGCACTGTGAGGTAGCGCTGTTAACCAGCGGTCTGGGCGGGACCATCCATGGATGCCAAGGGGGGGGGGGGGGGGGGGGGGGGGATTTGGGCTGGCGGGACCATCCATGGATGCCAAGGGGGGGGGGCGAGTAGTGGGGAATTTTGCTCCCACCTTAATTTCGCCATATTAAAATACGCGTTTTAAAAAAAATATGACATTGTGTGTTGCAATCGCAGGGGATTTCAGTGGTGAGAGGGAGGGAAAATATTTCTCTGCTGTCTTTCCTCCCACCCGAAGACGCGGAGTGGTAGGTGCCAAGGGCTAGGATAACAGTTGGCGCTGTGGACGGTACCATTGCACGGGTCTATGGGGGGGTCGCCACTGCCCCCCAGACGAGCTACAGCAATGTTCCAGCCACTGGTTCCGCCCATCCTCTGCCACTGACTCGTTATGGGCCCCCGGGCATGTCCCTTTGCACGTCAGCACCCTTATGCTGGCAGCAGCTGCTGGCTGTGGCTGCACCTGGGATTCATTCCCTGGTGCAATGAGCAACAAAATGATTTAGGAGGGTGCTGGGCCCCAGGGTGCAGGGAAAGGGCAGTAGTATGCCAATGTGCACAAGTTTTGTGCAACCAGTGCTCCCCCTCCAAGGAGCTGCTACTTTGGTGACTCTCAACCGGGGCTCTGCAGCACCCTGGGGTGCCACGGGATCCTTTTAAGTGCACTTTAGGGTGCTGGACAATGTCAGCACTGTTGGGTGTGCAAAAAAACCCAGCGATAAACCCAGAAATGGCAAATAGTCATGTATCCAGGTTGTAGCTGTAGTAGTCCAGTGGCAAAAGCAATCAGGACTCATGATAGAGGCAATGTCTTTTATTAAACCAACTTGATTTTTGCAAAAAAAAAAATATATATATTTTTTTTTTGTTGCAAAAATCAAGTTGGCCTAATAAAAGATGCCACCTCCACCACGAGTCCTGACTGAAATGGCAAATAGGCATCCAGAGGATCAAAACCCCTGCGCCCCGTTGTGGTCTGAGTTCTTTGCTCTAGTTTCTTCCGTAGTCATGAAATGAGTGAAAACTAAGACCTGGCATTTTTGGAGGCGACCCTGGAGACTTGAATCCCAAAAGCTTGAGACCCACTGGTACAGAGGCCGAGAGCCAGCAATGAAAAGCAAAGGGCACGTGTTGAGCATCGCTATGCTTATTTTTCCCCTGAATACTTCTCAGGCGTACGGCATGGGTGGTGCCCGTGCAAAACTTCCTCAACCAAGTTCAACCTTCACCTAGAAGCAGCTGCCTTTTGGGCGTGTTATAGTCTTGCCTGTGCGGTTACTGTCCTGGTGCCAACAAAGATGCCAACTGTAACAGTAAGTTCCTGGCCCCGGGACACTTGTCTGCTGGGATCTGAATTTAAACCAAGAAATCATTTCTCAAAAGGGTCAAACAGTTGCCAGACTGATGCATCTTCTGGTCAGTAGCAGCTGGTAATTGGACTTGAATCAGTGACCTAGAGGGGAAAGGCGTTTCATTTCCCGCCCTATTACCAATCCCTTGCCCCATCACTGTATAAACCCTTCTGTGCCAAAAGGGCATTTGCATTGTCCCATTAACAGTTTCAGAGCCCTGTTGTAATATGGACCAAAATGGAAAATTGCAACAGCCTGTCTGGAAAATGTGTCTTGCCCAACCACCCCTGGGTGCAAACTACAGAGATAACGCCAGGATGGAACCCCTCCCCCAAATAATTAAATGGACTTTTGTATTATCAGCTGGAAAGGAGAATGGGCAAAGAGGAGGGATGCTCATAGTCAGCAAAACTAGAAGAGCACAGATGTTACTCTGCGTGATGTACATGTGACAGAGGGAAATGCAAGTGAGAGCGCTGCAGGGGAGACGGGGGTGAATTTCCTGTCCTAGTCTGGTTTGTATTGGGGTTCTCTTCATGCACCCACAATAATCATGAATGCAAATGCTAGAAGAGCACAGATGTTACTCTGCATGATGTACATGTGACAGAGGGAAATGCAGGTGAGAGGGCTGCAGGGGAGACGGGGGTGAATTTCCTGTCCTAGTCTGGTTTGTATTGGGGTTCTCTTCATGCACCCACAATAATCATGAATGCAAATTACAGCAGGTATAATTTTGCACCCCAAGTTGTTCACGGGAATATTTCAGGTGCATTGAACATCCGAGGACTTGGTTGCAGTCATAAACTAAGAAATACGCAATGCAAGCTATGAGCGAGCCCCTTTCTGTTTTCTCCCTGTAAACATCTGCAGAGCCCCCTCTTCCTACTCATCCAAATCCCTTCTTCAAACTGGGCTCCTCTGCTGCGATGCCAATAGTTGGCTATGCTTTGGCTGCCGATGCACAGACGCCTGCCTGTTGATCCATCTACTACCATCTCGCTGTTTCTCTGTTTCTCCATCGGTCTGTATCCACCCTGTGTCTCTTGTTTTTGACTGTAAGCTCTTCAACCATCTTTTTGCTCTGTATTAGTACAGAACCAAGCCAATAGGGACCTTGTCCATGACAAGGGCTCCTAGATCAGGGATGCTCAACCTCCAGCCCACGGATGAGATCACAGAGCCACGTTATCCAGCCTGCAGGACCCCCCACAGGTCCAGAAGTTTGGTGGCAGGGGAGTGGTGGCAATTAATGCTGCCACCAGTTCCCTGTCTTCATCTTTCCAAACCCTATACCTAGATAGCATGTGCTAAACCAGGACATGGGCCCAATCCCATACCTACAAGTCCAGGGACAGGGCAACGAGCCCAATCTGAGGCTAAGACTGGAGCTGGGACTAGGACAGTAGACTGGATCTAACATGTGGGGCTGGGGTTCAATCTGATGTGTAGGGCTGGATTGTGTCCACATGCCAATCCCACTCTGGATTGGGCCCATGGACTGACCCCATGCACCAAATGCAGCCCACAGAGCAGCACAACCCCACTCATCCAACCCAAAGCGCAGATAAATGGGGCACCACCGTCCTAGATGCTATGGTAATACAAACAGTGATTCATACCACGAAGCAGGTATGTAGCTAGTCAAGTGACAGTCCCGTCTGTAAGTATTTGAATGCACAGTTTGCAGCAGCTAATCCTCAACTCAGTTTTTCTAAAGAGAAATCTGGCCCAAATCTCATCCAGCCCTATGAAATCCTGCGTTGCAAGATCTCTGCAGCAAGGCTGGTCTGGCCGTGGCTTGCATAACAGTACCATGGGTCCAAGGAAACCTTAGTTCTCTGGGGTACCATGAGATCCTTTCAAGGGCGCTGTTAGGTGTGCAAGTACCTACACATGACTGACAAGGTAAACCCAGAGATTTCAAATAGGAATCTGTAGTGTCAAAACCATACTGACCTTCCTGAGCTCTTTGCAACAGTAAATTGCTGTTATTTTTACATGAGTGAAAGCAAAGAGCTGACATTTTCCAAGGGGGCCTGAGTCTAGCGGGGTTGGGATTGAGTCTCAAAAGGTTGAGAACCGCTGCCTCCTGTAGCAGGTTGCTTTCTGACTTGACCTATTTGTGGGGTAATGTCCACTCATTGCAAGGAAAAGCAGCAGATGCATAGCCTAAGTTACAAAAATCATTGCTTTTGCATCACACTTGGTGGCTCTTTTTTTTTTTTTTTTATCTGAAGCACTGCTTTGTGCTTGCGTTCTGGCTCGGGTACAGAGCAAATATTCCCCTACCGATTATTAACTTGAATCTCCAGTGTCATCTTCCTTGAAGAATACCATTCTTTTAAATAAGGTACTGTTAGTTCCCTTCATCCTGCACGCGGGTTTGGAAACGTGGAGCATGAGTAACAGGCGGTCGGCGGGGTCTGTATGACAGTGTTTGCAGAATCCGAGTCAGCAGCATGTTCATCTTTGCAAAACAGACGAATCTCAGGAACAAAAATGAGCCACAATGCAGCTTTGTGCCGTGGCATTTTTGAGGCCGTGCACTGAATTTTTAGGGCTGTGCTCATTGAATCTCAAATGCCTTCCCATTTCACAAAGTTCTTGGTGCCGTTCAGAAGCAGCTCTTTTTTTTCCCAGTTACAGTTGGCGACTTAAATAATTAAATCAATTAAAAAAAAAAAAAGCGGGGAGTGTTGTTGAAGGCAAGGTTTTGAGTTGGCAACTCCGTGGGTCTCTCCCCCTCTGAATACAGCATGATCACGCTATATTTTCAAGGTCAGGCAAGAGGCACCATCTGATGTTCTCAGCCAAAGATCAAGCATTTGAATATGCACCTGTAGTGTAAGAGCGATGTTGTAGCCCTGACGGTCCCAAAATTATGTGAGGGGCAAGGATTTCTTAGGGTGATATCTTTTAGTGGGCCAACTACACAGATGGACAAGCTTTTGAATGCAAGACGTTCTTCCACAGGTCTTTGATTCTAGGAAGCCAGGCAAAGCAAGTGAAGGACCGTACAGGAGAAGGGCTGAGAGAAACGATCAGGTGTAGCAGAGGTATAGGTTGTAGCCGCATGCAAACTGGCCTCTGGCTTCGCATCCAGGAAGAGCACAGACCTATTGCAGACGCTTCGTCAACCTGATGAAAGGTACTTGTACTCAAAAAAGATTTTGTCCAACTATTTGAGCTGGTCTAATAAAAGATAATTGGATTTACCCCACCAAAACTTGTCTGCCAGGTGTAGCTGATACACAATTAGCAGAAGAAAAGAATCTGATTACTAGGAAATCAAGGTCTATCAAAAGGGGAAAGGGGATGGGGGGGATCAGTCTCACCTTCATTGGGTGGAAAGAATTCAGGAATTGGATAAATTATAATGGGCCATAAATCCAATATCACTGTTTAGTCCTTGGTTCTTAGCATGCACCTGGTCAGAAAGACCTGCTTATATTACAGATATTCACATGCACACACAGTTGAGCCTAGCTGCCTCAGAAAGCCTTGTC